AGTAGATGGTGGTTGCCCAGAATCGTACTACAATAACCCCGCCCGATTAGTATCACTTTTGATCAAATCATCATTCCGTTTTACCTGGAGCAAACATTGTTTTGACTTGTTTGAATATACCGATGATAAACGTCAGACTATATATATAAGAGTGTAAATATACTTTTCATCATTGTGTCTAATATATCAAGTCAAGATTACCTAAAGATAGATATAACGTTACCAATGCTATACAGAATAGCAAAACCAGGCACATTCATTCCAATAAGAAGTAAAGAGGCCTAAAATAAACAAGAGGATACTCTAGTTAGTCATAGTATCTTGTTTTGTGTCTTTTAGAGAAATTTACCACCAGGGAGAGAATGAAGCCAATGACAAAACTAAACAAACAACAAGTAAAAGATCTAGTTAGTTAGTTAGTTAGTTAGTTATCGAGTTGATATTTATTGTCTGTAATTACCAAGCACCAAAGGCATACAATCGTTGCATACGATCAAGACCACAGAACTGCCAAGTTCCTATAAAACGGAAAAGTTAATTATAAAAAGTGTCAGTACAAGGGTCTGTCAAGTGTATTTACGTTGAATAATACATTACCGTCATCCATAGTCCCTTGGTCACTGAAGGTATCCGAGAAGAATCCAAATGCCATGGTTTATATTTAAAAGAGAGGAAAAGAGACGATAAAATGCTCTTGGCTGATTCCCAATTCCACAAAAAAAAAGTCGGCGAATAAAAATGTTGAAGGTGCTCAGTTTTTTTTTTTTTTTTTTTGTTGTGTGGCAAGTCAAGTCCATCATTATGATGATTGGTGCAACGTGCAACCACTCACACAGAATCCCTTCACCTGTTGAAGGGAAAAAGAAACCACCCTTTTCGGGATTTGAAATAACTCAACTAGCTGTCCTATTTTTGTATACACTTGTTTATCTCTTCGCTTTCTTATTCTTTCTACTTTTCTACTACCCATTTTAATTGTATACCCCTCTCTCCTTCTTCTTCTTCTTTTTTTTTATTACCCTCTTTTATTTGTCATGGAAAATACAGGGGATAGCTCAAGTCAAGCTTCTTCGTTTACCGATGATGAAAAAAAGCAACCACCTTTGACTATGCGACAGTCAGCTCGTCGACCTGCTTCGATACCAACACCACCGTTTCTCAACAAATTTGCTACGATGGCGACTGATAAATATACCCAAAGTCTACGCCGTGATCTATTATTGTCCAACTTTGATCGAAATCTCACTGTAGAACAAGCACACTTTGATCCTTCTGTCTTACTTGGAGTTCCTCACGATAATTCAACAATGACAGCAAGTACTTCACTGGCCAATTCCTTATCAAGCAACACACTAAACGACAACAGCAACAATAACAACAGCAACAACAATAGCAACAACAATAACAATAACAACAACAGCAACACTACATTGGATGCAGCTAATTACAGTGGTGGTGGTGGCGGCGGTGGTTTAGCTATTATGGGCGGCGGTACACCTTCTCCTCCTCTAGGTCCCATGTTGACACCTCCCGCCGAATCTCCTCATCTCAGTCGACGCTCTTCGAACAACAAACTGGATACTAAACGAAAACAAACTAAACGAGCACCTATACACAGCACTGCCACCCCATCTGAATACTTTCACCGGAATCTAGTTGATGCCGTCTCTAATGTAGAAGGTACAGAAAGAAACACTCCTCGAATCCCATTGACTGACTACTAAAGCCTCCTTTTTTTTTTTTTTTTTATTCCTTCTTAATCTTGATAGATTCGGACGAAAATGAATATTATGTATATCCTTATAGTGGTGGTGAACATAATGGTAGTACTTCGGATTACTACTCTCCTTCAGCACCAAGGTCACTTCGATCAAAGAAATCTAACATTGCTCCTCTTCGGTCTACCTTATCCTCTCACGAACTCAAGCATGGCAGCAGCAACAAACCACATCGACCCAAATTACGAAGTTATGTTATGGATCCACACACCACAAAGAAGGAATACGGGGCAACTAGACAACAAGATCCTCAGTTTCGATCGGCTCGGCGGAATCAACATCCACGAAAGTACCTTCCTGCTTACTACCAAACTACAGATGGTTATGCTAGTGATGATGAAGGTGATTCCCTTTTATGGAATGAAGATCGTCGAAAAGATCATCTTCGTAGATGGTAAGTATAATACCCAATTACCTAATACTTTCTCCCCACTAACATTCAATATATTATCTCTCTCTTTCTCTCTATTTACAACAAAATAAAAGTCCTTCACTCTGGACAATAGGTATCTCCTTCTTTTTCCTTGTTGTATTTGGTGCAATTCTTCTTCTTTATGGTGGTGTCAAACCTTTACAAGATGTGACTATCAGCATGGGTCGTGTGTTGGCTTCGGACAAGGAATTGATCTTTGATCTACATGTAACGGCATATAATCCCAATGGATGGACGGTCCATGTTGCTGAAGCAGATATCAGTGTCTTTGCCTTCTCTCGTATTGTGCCCTTGTTACTTGATGAAGAATATTATACCAATCAATCCGAAATACTCTCCTCCTACTACTACTCTGGTAAGACAAGAAAGAAAGAAAGAAAACATCAGCCTTCTTTTTAACTCTTCCTCTTTTTTTTTTTTTTTTTTTTTTTTTTTTTTTTTTTTTTTTTTACTAGGTGCCGATCCAGCAGAATATTTAGGGGGATTCCATCACTTTGATGAACCGCTGGCGTTTTCATCCTCTTTGTTATCTTGTCGACCCTCACAGGCAGTCAGCCAAATCCGAATCAAATCTCCTGGTGATGATCAAGGCGGAAATGAAAGGTGGTCTCGTATCATCCGATACTCTTATGGTTTGTTGGCAAGAGGGGTATTGTCTTATCGCTCTTTGGGACTACCAGGTGTACATTCTCAAACCGTCGATATATGTAACGTCGCTAAAGTTGATCCCATTACTGGTATTGTCTCTGGTGACCCTGATCAAGGGTTTTGTGCAAACGCAGATTAGTCGTGATTGGTAGTAATAGTAGATTTATTTATATATTGATTTAGATGGTATCATTGTTATCTTTTCACTAATAAAATTGGGCTTTTTTGTCGTCTATAAAGTGCTTAATAAACTATATCCCTACTGATGGTAAATGTCGGCAGTTGAATGTCTGTTTTTGACAGCACCCTCATAAAGCTGTTTTTGATAGTAATCTAATAAAATCCTTTGGTAAATGCTTGTTAACACAAAAACAAATAAAAAAAAGAAGAAGGTTGATCATCCTCACTCTTTTTCTTTTACCACCCGACCAGCAGGAGAACACATGATGGAGTGTTCAGCAAGGAAATACCTTCCACCCGCTTTTTTCGTTTTTAATCGCCGATTCCATACTTTGGTCATGAATGAGCCTTTCCCTTCCTCCATAGACCACGTATATTGGACTCCCGACAGGCTTTGAAAGAACAAACTTATTGCAAACCCGCTGACCCTCGCCTTGAATCTCGGGAGAGCTCTACTGGCTTAATGGACAAGCGATGCTAATGACAAAAGTGATCATTTGCATTCCTTAGCCTATTTCCAACATAGTTTACATAATGACCATTGTACCAAGTTCACTGTATGGAGCAGTATAGCCTCAAGATTGTTTTAATCTGACTTTTGTAAAAAAAAAAAAAGTTGCAGAATGAAAATTGACACACAAGTTAAAACTTATTACAAAACCCGTTTACTCTCACCTGGAATTTTAAGAGAGCTCTACTGCCTCAACGGAGGCTGTATAGCTCAATACAATGGACTTGGTATATTGGCCATTATGTAAAGTTCGTTGGAAATAGGCCACGGAATGCTCATGGTCACTTTTGTCATTAGCATCACTTGTCCATTAAGCCAGTAGAGCTATCTCAAGATTCCAGGCGAGAGTAAGCTGGTTTTGTAATAAGTTTTGTCTTGTGTGTCCATTTTCATTCTGCAACTTTTTTTTTTTTACAAAAGTCAGGTTAAAATAATCATGAGGCTATACTGCTCTATACAAGGTACTTGGTACAATGGCCATTATGTAAACTATGTTGGAAATAGGCTAAGGAATGCAAATGATCACTTTTGTCATTAGCATCGCTTGTTCATTAAGCCAGTAGAGATTTCTTAAGATTCCAGGTGAGAGTAAGCGGGGGAAAGGAAAGGTTTGTGTCATGATCCACCCTTTTACCTCTGATTATCATCCATGACCGTAATCCCCCTTTGACATCCATTATCTATATTGGTCGTGATCATTATCCACCTTTTTATCGTGACCAATATCCAGATATTGACTGCGACCGTTATCCACATATTGGCACACATATCCATATTAATTGAAATCAAAATCTACTTTTAACAGGGACCATTGTCTCCTTTAGTATATCTTACCCCTGAATCTGATTAGTGTAAATATCCACCTGCCTTGATCAGAATTCTTTTTTCTTTAGTTTTATCAAGTTTCTTTTTTTTAAAAAAAAATACAATACAAATCCAAAAGGTCTTTATTACAAGCTACTTCTTTTACTATCAAGTTACTTAACAAATGTAACTATTGTCTTTACTGCTCTTACTTTGGAACAAAAGCCTCTTTTTAGTATATTTTCAAATTCCGACATGCCTCGGTCGATCTTTTTCTTTTCCTCTTAAATTACCAAGTACATTCAAATACATCCTAAAGGTTGCATCTTACCAAAAAGATTCTGGTGCTCGCTACATTTTATAAAAACAAACCTTACTTCTACTACCCTTGTTACCATAACTCATACCAAGTTTAGCCGTAACTGTACAGTATTTAAACTTGGAATTGGAACACCGTTATTTTGGACTGGGTGACATTTTATTTGGAATAATGTGAAATTGAAATTCAGACAGGGGGAGAATCATTTGGTACATTGTCCCAGATAAAATGTCACCCAGTTCCAAATCAAATAATGTAGTAATCAAGTAATTTGAACGGCGCTTACTTGTTTCAAAGCCCGAAAATCCAAAAATCCAAAAAAGCATATGAGGCGATAGTGACTCGAACACTAAACCTTCAGATCTGGAATCTGACGCACTACCAATTGTGCTATCACCCCCTCGCTGAAAATTAAATTTAAAGGTGTTATATAAACCACCAACCAAAAAAACAATCACGTGATCTTATTTATAGCTTTTGATTGGGTGGCGGAATGTCGTAATTGCTGGTGATGCATCTTTTATTTGTTGCCCCAAATCACCTATGCAAAAGACTATATTAATTAATGTAAGGTTAATGCACTCTATAGTAAGTGTATTCATAGCTTAAAGTGTCAATTATTTGATCCTTTTCATTTTTTGAGATTGGTTTGAAATCCCGATTTTATTTGGGCGCTGACGTCTATAGCGGATTTAACAGGGCAGTCAGGGGGGGGGAAGTTGAAAAAAAAAAAGTTTGCTCTTTTCTTCTATTTATCTCCCAACTCTTTCATAAACCACAATCAATCAATGGCTTCTCGTGTTCTCTTCAACAGCCAAGTGCTCCAATCTGTCAAGCGCACCGGTATTCGATTCTCCTCCACTGCCTCTGCTGCTGAACAAGAAGCTATTCGTGCTCACGCTGCTAGTAAGTCCTTCCCAAAAAAAAAAAAAAAAAAAAAAAAAAAAAAAAAAAGATGAAACGTACCACCCACTCTTTTGTTTTTGTTACTAATGTCATTCTTTTTGTTTTTTATAGAGTCTGCTGATACCTGGAAGAAGATCTCCATCTTTGTCTGTATCCCTGCGTAAGTCAACTAACTTAATCTTGGAAAAAAAAAATGAGGGGGACTAGTTCATACTAACGTTTATACTTGTCGGTTATTATAAAATAGTCTTGCTGCTGCCAGTTTGAACGCCTACAACTTGTATGAAAAGCACCACGAACACCAATTGCACCACCCTAAGGAATGGATCAACTATGAATACATTAACTTCCGCGTTAGAGTAAGTTAACTTGCTGGGGCTGAATACTGTATACTCACACACACACACACACTCTCTCTCTCTCTTTTGTATAGCCCTTCTTCTGGGGTAACAACTCTTTGTTCTTCAATCCTGCTGTCAACCTCTCTGCTGACGAAGAATAAACGAACTGCAATAGACATCCCTTGTAATCCTTTGTAATAGTATAGTAGACACTAGATTGTTGTTGATTATAAACTAGAAATAATAAAAATCACGGATTGTGTTTTGTTGGAATATGTGTCATGGAATAAAAGTGCATGCATGTGTGTGTGATGAAGTGAGTGACATTCATTCCTTCCGATTTGTGAAACAGGTCGGTACATATTTAGTGATCTATCTATCTATCTATCTATCCTTCTTCTTTTTTTGTTCCCTACAAACGAATGATCATGATGATTAACTCTTTCCCGAGATCAAGGCTATTTACTTTGATGGGTTTCACCATAGTATGCTGCGTTTGCTCACTATCTAATCAACCACTTGACTTTTTTTTTTTTTTTTTTTTTTTTTGACAGGCAATAATGATGATGGCAGGATATTGGCTATTGCACCATCTTGGACCATTTACCTCGTTACCACCATTCTACCAGTCTGTTAGATTGGTTTCTGATGAAGGGATTGGTATCTCACCTAGAATAGTTTTTCATATGGAATGGACCCATTATGTTATGATAATGATCTACATGGCCATGATTTTAAATCTCCGGTCTGAACTTTTTTCAAAAGTAATCAATGCGCCCTAAATGCATGATTATAGTATAACTGACCTGTCATTTTATCTTTCCTTGTTTATCACATGTACATGCTTTTTTTTTTTTTTTTTTAGTGCTTCCTTCTCTTACTGGGTTTATCTGCGGTACAATTGATACATTACACATGGTCCTTACTCGATCGAGACACTTTTTTATGCAATTATTTATCAGCGGCATGGCAAACCACATATGAAAAGGATCCATGGGCAATCCAGAAAATGGAGGATCGATGGAAATGTGCCGGGTTCTATCATACATCAGATAGGTACATTCATTTCAACAGCATGAATGATACAGGGGTTCAAAAAGGGTGTTTTCCTTATTTGGAAGACCACTTTGGTGAAATCATTTATCGGTGGGCAATTATCTTGTGGATCATCAAATGCATTCAGGTACACAATTCTGCCATCTATTTGAATACCATCTATTCCACATAACTCATATTCATGCATATCATTATAGGTTTTATTGGGGATCGCCTGCTATGGATTGTATTCATGGTATGGGCAGGCTCAAATTGATGAGGATCTAGAGTTCATGCCTATATTAGACACTTTCAAAATACAAATATGTGATGACAATGACAATGATGATAGTCGAATAGTGATCAAGACAGGTTGATGCTTTTTTTTATTTTTTATTGATTACATGTATAAAATAAAAAGTAAACATTAAGAGGACCAATTGAGTATAAATTAAGAGAATGAGGAGGGGGGAAAAGTGGTAATACAAGTAGTAGTATACAGAATGAATGTAAGTTGGGGTGTGTAGTGAGTGATGATGTCTAAAAAAATCTATTTAATACCGCTGTCCTTCCAATAGTCGAAGTTGAGTACATGTCTTGAGAGCCTTTTCATATACACCCAAGAAGATACTGCCACCAATGGAGATCCACATGACTCTAGGTCCAATCCCAGATAAAAGTGCCCGAGGTCCTTCTTCAGCCGCAATCCGTTTCATTGTTGACATGATTCCAGTATACGCTTGAGTATTTTGATTCTACATATAAATATAAATATAAATATCAGTATACTTTTCCAGGGAGTTTTTCTTCTTCTTCGACTTACGTTAGTGGATAACATGATTCTAGTCTTGCAAACATCCAATGGAGTAGTGATAGCCGCCGCAATTCCACCTGCCACTGATCCACAAAGAGCCGCTTGATAAGGTTCAGCAGGACGTCCATAATGATTAGCATACACCCGTTTAAAGTATTCGTACAGAGGGAATTGTATACATGTGAATGGGATTTCCCGTGCGACGGTGGAGAGGAAGCCACGGTAGAGACCAAGAATACCTTCTGTTCGAATAACATTGGAGACTGCTGATGAAGCTGTGTTGAACTGTTTGGTTTGCATTCGTTGTTTAACCACTTCGGTAGGCACACGAACACTACATGCTGTCTATATCCACACCAAAACCCAAAATAAGAGAAACGTTAGTACAGCGTCAATCCCCCCCCCCTTTTCTTCTTCTTCTTCTTCTTCTTGTTCATTTACCACTTCACCACAGGATGCTGCCACCATATGGATAAACGGAACATAAGCAGGATCGATCGAAGTGCTCAAAGCACGTTTAGTAGCTTCATAGGTAACAAAGAAGAGGGAAGCTACATATTCAGAATAAACCAAAGGAAGTTAGTTGATGAGATCTAGTTATCATTTATACGTTGACATACCACTGGGCGCACTTCCAATGACAGCCGCAAGTAAACCAGAATAGACACCACGCAGCCCCCCAGATGCCATGAAGCCAGCTTGGGATTGTAGTCGAGTTTTGATGGTATCTACATGTATGAAGAAAGTTGTTCATAAAAGAAGAAAAGGAATGTTAATGGTCTTTTCATTATTTTCGTTTGTTTTAGTTTTGCTGTACCTAATTCTTACCTAATGGGAATAATACGGTGTCAACAGCAGTGCCCGCCAATCCACCAGCGAGTAAAGCTTGTTTGAGATTGCGTTGATCAAGTTGATGAGCTTCCATTGTTTTCACTTCAGTAGTATTATTCATGCTGGAATGAGAATAATGAACAAGAGGAATTTAAAAAGTGAAAGAGAGGTGAAGGAATGGAAGTAGGTCTTTTTTTGGTGAAATATGGATTTTAAATTTAAATCCCGACATCCCTTCCCTCCATCTCTCCCTGTAAACCACTTTATATAAGATCAAGGGATATCGATGGTTGATCAGATAAAAGCGATTGGGCATTAGTAGTATGACATTCATCAGGGCACTTGATTTCTTGGTACCTGGTTTGTAGATCTTCCTGCTGTCACTAGTTCCTACTGAAGTCTATTTCGGGTCAGATGTAATTTTTTTGAAGGAAGCGTATATATATATATATATATATAGAGTAAAATGCTCCAAGCCATGCTGTCAATACACACACACACACACACACGCAAAGAGATTTGTTAATGACTGCATGATAAATGGATCTTTTATTATTTATAAATGTTTTAATGGAGAGAGAGGGAGAGAGAGGTGGGTTGAATGTATGTAACTAGGTAGTAGTGTGTTGTATAAAAGGGGAATCATAAAAAAGATAGTGTAGTCTAAGGCCATTTTAAGATTTCAGTCTTGATTTGAGGATCCCAACCAGAGCAGTAGGAGCTTTGACTATCAGAGCCATCGCAGATGTGTTCGACTTCGTTGTTGACCCATTTATCCAAAGTTTGAATGGAATTACTGATGAGGCGATTGGCGTATTCCATCACATGCACGTTATCCGTCATCGAACCAGCACCGTAATGAGTCATCACACCGTGGATCGATCGTTTGATGTTCTGTACAAGACTGTGCACCAACAATCCATCGTCGAATAAGGCATTTTCCTTTAATTGAGTTTGGATTCGCTTGATGATACGTGATTTCACCTAAAAGGAAGAGATAAAGGATTTGGTGTGAGTGAGAAGGTGTGACCATAGCATAAAACTATACTCTACTTACCATTTCCAAGTGATAACAAATGGAAGGAGGGTTACCACAGATATAATCCATCTTTTCACCTAATGAAAAAAAGAAGATAAGTATCATCGTTTATCCTTCACCCTAATCCCCTAATCTCAACTTACATTCTTCCATAGTCCAAGATTCACCTTTAGGAGGCATATTACGAGTAAGTCTTCGAGGATGATTGCAGTCACCTTTGAAGGGATCTTGTTCGTTAAACATGACGTTGTAAATGCCCTTTTCCAGAGTACCATCGGTCACACGGCCCACATAGTCGTTGAGAGTTTTCTTTACAGCACCATGGACAGCATCTTGAATAGCGTTTTCAGGTACAACCGAAGTAATTTGTACGGGTGCCGAGGTTGAATCAAAGAGGTCGGCGGCTAGATTGGTGTTGAGTTGGAGGACGGTGT